AAAGAAATCCTTTATTGCCAGCAAAAGCCTTTGAATTCCAAATAGGAAGGAGGAGTTGAGGCCACATTATGTTGCATTTAGCAGGCGACACATTTGCATAACACTCATACGACCCGTGAGGATTTCATGGAGATAAAGGGAGAGACAGAGAGAGAGAGAGAGGGAGGGAGGGAGAATGGAATGGTAAGGGATAGCCATGGAATATGTAAATAATATTCCAACAATAATTGCTTTTGAAACTTAAGTGCCCAAGCAAACGTCCAACTGTCTTGCCCAGCACCCAGCCCCCAACCCCACCCCCCGAAAGCCACCCCACAAATTCAATTTTCTCATGAGATACGAAACAGAGACAGAGACAGGGAGAGAGAGAGAGAGAGAGAGAACTTGCTGCTGCTGCTGCTGCTTCTGGCAGCTAAAAATAATTAAAATTTAAAACGGAATAAAATGCACAAGAATAACATTTACATTTATGCGTTTCTATCATCCATTCCACCCACTCTATCCTCCCCCTTCCACACTGTAGGTTTTCCGCTTCAGCTTTTCTTTTGCTCAACGAAATACAATTCAAATTCAACAAGTTGAAAGGATAGGGACAGAACGAGCAGGAAGGAAAACGCAACGGCAAAATGCTCTCAAGTGTGCGCCCCCCCCCACCCCCCACCCGTCCCAGGAGTCTTGGGCCTGAATATACATAAACTTGTTGAAAATTAAACTAACTGTTTATAGTTATTGCAAAACTATCCAGTGGGGGGGGGGGGGGGGGGGGGGGGGGGAGATGCAGGCGAAGCTGGGGGCCAGGTCCTGCCCAAGAGACTGGAACCAAAGGAGAAGGAGAGATGGAGAGAGAGGGAGACTGAGGACTTGTCGTCCTCAAAACGGAAATGTAACTTGAACATTGAATTGCAATGAAGAAAATTGCAGCTCCTTGTTTGGGAGGGGGCTGGCTTGGGCGTTCGGCATAACGATTGAAATAATGTTGTCTTCTTCACTGACTTTGCCCCACCTCCTTTCCGTCCGTTTTCCTTCTCCTCCTCCTCAAATCCTATTTCTCTAAGGACATCTGCGCTGGCCTGCTTCAATGGATGATTATATAATCTCTTGTGTACTCAGGCATCTTCCAAACGCATTTCCACTCAAGAGAAAGTCCACTTGGACTTGGACTTGGTCTTGGATTCGCTTGAGCATCGCCCAAAGACAATTGGAATTGGATTGTGTTCGGAATATGAAACGATTGAAACGATGATATACGAGAATATCAGTATATCTCTAAGATAAATTTGTAGCTGCAGCAATGCTAATGAAGAAAATGGTTGGATTTTTCTTGGGCTCTCGTTCGAGGGTAAAAAGTCACCCTGAAATTATATATATACCATCTTTAAAATGTGAAATCCTCAAAATTTGTTAAAAAGTTGAAAATACAACTTTCGTAGCATACTTTTCGGCAGTCCATTGAAGCAGTGAACAATTTTGATGGTTCCTCAAAAAAAGTCGTAGCATACTTTTCGGCGGACCGAGGAAATTTCTTTGCATTTTTCTAGCAATAGAGACATTGTCTCCAGAAAATCTAGCAAAGATAATTACTCGCTCTCCGTCTCCGTTTCCCTCTCCCCCTGCCCTACCCCTGAAGGCACTAATTTCAGAAGAAAATCACCTGAGCTTTGGAAAGAAAAAACCACTTTATCTTGAAACTTTTTTTTTTGCCAGTGGATGCCACACAAAAGTTTTGTCAAGCACCAAAATCCAAATCCAAAGACACAACAAAAAGGCAAAGCAAAAACAGGGCCCGACAAAACCAAAACTAATTATAATTAAAACAAATTTCAGTTTTGTTTAGGTCGGTTTTTTTGTTGTTGGTTTTTGTGTCCAACCCACCAACCATCCGGGCAGCCATCAAGTGGTGCCATTTTTTGGGGGAAAACAGAAAGCAAATGCCGCCGTAGCCATAGCCGTGGGGCTAACGACACTCAAATCAAAAGCGATAATCTATGACCCCTTGGGCCAGACGACGACGACAGCGATGGAAGGAAAACCTTTCATAAAAATACGAGAAAGGAGAGAAGGAAAACACGAAATAAGTAGCCGCACTTTATATTTATGAGCAACATTCGCATGCAGCTTTAATGGCCATCGAACTGGAACTGAAACTGGACATCAGAGGAGCAGAGGAGGCAGCAACGGAGGCAGCAACGGAGGCAGAGGCAGCAGCGATGGCACAGGCACAGGATACGATGGACGATGACGCCCACAAAAAATACATTTCCTTTTTGGATTATTTAACTGCCATTCGGAGGACGCGGACGCGGACGCGGACGACGTTGAATGAATGAATGAATGAATGGCGGCTGGGCTGATGATAGTGGGAAAGGAAAAGGCACACCAGACAAATAGAAATAAAAGTAAGAGAGAGGTAAGCGAAAAGCCGGAGCCACAGCCAAACGACGCGAGACCCGCAGGGCATGAGACCCCACCGAAAAATACAACGAAAAGAAAATGCAAAGACGAAAATCGACAAGAGCTTTTCCACGCCACGCCACCACCTGAGGGTGGGGGGGCAGAGTGAGGTGGAGTGAGGGGGTGGCGGGGAAATATGTATTCTCTGACTGGTTATTTATTTGCTCGTTTATTTTCAGCACTTTTTCGGCGCATTTATTAGAAGTTGTTTTTTTGTTGTTTGCCTCCCAGGCACAGCCCCCCCTTTCCCCACCACACCCCCCACACACACACAAAAGGGGTTGGATACGGCGGAGTATTTTCCTTAGACCTTAGACAGATAGACAGCTTGCCATCGAATTGAAAATCATTTGTAAATCAAATTGAAAATTTCCAACCAAAAAGAGAGATGGCTTCCCCCCCCCCCACCCCTAAGTCTTCTGGAGGGGGAGGGGGGGGGGGGGGGGACTGCTGTTGGTTGGTGGTTGGTAAATTTGTCAAAAACCAGCGAACATCATTCGTCATGATGATGCCTGCCGATACCGCGTCGGCGGGCAACGGGGGGAGGAGGAGGAGGAGATTACATTTGAGCAGCAATGAACTTTTGAGCCCTGGCCTCGTCTCCGTCTCCGTCTCCGGCTCCGGCTCTGTCTCTGGCTTTGTGTTTGGGGCGAATCCTGGGGAAATGAGTCAGAAGCAGATAATGCTGATTAAGTTGGATGGAAACAGCATCGAGGGTCGAGTCGAGGGTCCTGCCTGACTTGTTGTCAACTCTCGTATCCCACGATATTCTTAATTGTTCGTTATTAATGATGCCACTCGTACGGGCACTGGCTGCGTACTCCTGCTCCATGGCTGCCTCCCTGCCTCCCTGCCTCCCTGGCTGTCCTGTTTTCTGGGAATTTCCAAATTGAAAATGACCCCCCTCCCCCCCTTTGGCTGACTTTGATGAATGTCCGAGTGTGAAAAACCACAAACAGACTAATTGATTGCCTGAAAAAGATTTCTGGGAATTGGACTTGGGCCAGGGCCAGGGCCACTCTTGCACTTGATACAGGAGGAATCGAGAGGATTCAGGAGCTTGAGGAGCTCACTCACCCTCCCCCCCCCCCCACACCATTCTTTGTGTTGTTTGTAGAGTGGATCCTGGCTGCCTGGCTGCCTGGCTTTGACACAAATCAGAACGAAGCCCAGGCAAATTAATGCAAGCAACAAAACTGTCACTGTTGATGAGGCATGCGAATGGGGCCTACAGAGACATAGAGGTGCTATCCACACACAGGCATAGGGCAACGCCTGCTGCACGGCAGGATAATCGCACAGAAGGGCAGGCACTGCAGGAAGGGCAGGAAGGGCCGGAAAGGGGGAAAATTCAGGCCTCAGTACTCTCCCAAAAACGGTCCAACAGTGAGAGGGTCATAAATAAATTGCTGCTTGAGCAATTTTCAATAAATGACAGCCAGTCAGTGCTCCCTCCCCTCCCCTACCCACCCATCACCCCCTTCCTTCCCGACTGGTCGACTCTCTGCTGTCTCTTGTCTCTTGTCAAACTGAGGAACTCCACACTTGACAATCAATAAGTTGGAAAGGAAAAGGAAATGGAAAGGGAAGGGACTTGGGGGAGAACAGGAAACGGGAGAAGGGGCAGGGCTAGGGGTAAGGGGCAAGGGGCAAGACAATGGGGAATGGGACCAGTTAATAGAGGTAGTAGTAGTTCTTGGAAGTGTAAAAACACTTGAATTCCATTTTGCTTTGCTTTTGTGCTGATGGACGCACATAAATTTTCGATTATGCGGACCATTACACAGGAATTGAAGAAAATTCATCAGAACCAGACGGGAGGGGGAGGGCCCAAGGGTGGGAGAGGGCTCTTTTATTGGAAACATAGAGAATGCTTTGATATTTGGGATAATGCGAATTAATATGCAGCATTTTCTCGGCTGATAAGATACAAGATGGAAATGTGCCTCAGGTTGGGGTTTGAGGTTAAGCCAACGAGCATTTACCAACACTAGATACCTACGTTTGGAAACACTCAACGGTAATTTGGTTACAGAATAAATATTTGCACAAAATTTCACATTTTACAACATTCCAAGGGCTTTACCAACACTGAAAAGGTAGATTTCAAACACTGCCTGGATGATTCGATCTGAAACAAGGTTTATTAATGAATAAGAGGCTGTATATTTATAATTTTCGTCTGCATTTCTGCATTTGGTAGATCTTTAAAGAGCATTTACCAACACTGGAAAGGAAGCTTTCATCAATGGCACTCCCTGAAATATTTAAGCTGAAAAAACAGTCTATAAACGAGTACCTTAAACATGGGTATAATTAGGCGGCTGTCAAGTGCCTCCCGCCCCCCCAAAAAACGGCACTTGACAACACTGTAATCTGTAATCAGTAATCTGTAATATACAATTTTAAAACACTACTTAAAAACGCTTTTCCATGCAATTTCGAATGCTAATTTGTGTACAGATTTCCATTCTAAACCGATTTCCACAGAGATTAGTTCCCCGGATTGACCCACCCGCCCCACACACCCCTCAAAAACGAGTACTCACCGTGGTTGTGGCCGGTGTGGTGGCCGTGTGCGGCGTATAGGCGGCATAGGCCGGCTGGGGGAGCGGCGCCGTGTAGCGGTAGGCGGCCTGCTGGGCCACGGCAGCGGCGGCGGCGGCAGCGGCCGGGGCATAGCCCTGCGGGGTCCAGCTGGTGGCGCCGCGATAGGGGGCGCCGGCGGCTAAAGCAGCGCCGGCAGCAGCAGCGGCTGGGCTCGTCATGGCCGGTGGACGCTGTGGCAAGGAGCCTTTAAGTGCAACGGCTGAGGCGGTTAGCGGTGCGCCTGGGAATGCGCTGCGCTGCTGTGTTGACGATGCGGCAGCGGCGGCGGCAGCGGCAGCGGCACTGGACGAGCTCCCCTGCGGGAAGAGAGAGAGAGAGGAGAGAGAGAAGAGTGGTGGGGTGATGGTAAGTAAGGGGCTAGTGGGCGAGTGGTTCAAACATAAATAATATAGTCTATGTTTTTACTGTTTTTACTGTTTTTCTCATCTTCTATTTTACTGTTTTACTATTTTTCTATTTTGCTATTTTTCTGTTTTTGTCGTAAATAGAAAACCAACCGCAGCGGCAACCGTGCGGCAGGCAGCAGCTGCGGCCATGCCGTAAAGCTTTGCTTACCGCTGGAAAAAACCGCCATGACATCCGTTCTAACTCTCACACACGCACACACACACACATTCATAGAGGACACATCTGCATATGAATTACACTCGCACACACACACACCCACACACACACACACACACACACGCTCACAAGCCCAGCTGTAGAGTCGGAAAATTGTGGGTTTATGGAGATTTTGTGTTTTATTGAGTGCCAGGTGCGCATTCGTCACAAAAACAAAAACAAAAACCGAATGGCACAAGCGGAAGCATGGGGGGGGGGGGGGGGGGATGAAGAGGGGTGGAGTGGTCGACGTGGGAGATACTCTTTTGCTTTTGATGAGGTATAGTTCTCAAGGCAATCGATATATGTATGGCACTTGTACGGGTAGTATAACAGTATAACAATTTTCAGTGTTTTTTAATAGGGAAAAGAAAATGTCTAACAGTTCCCATTTATTGTAGGAACTAGTATGACAAGTAGCTTATAAAGTTTATAACAGTATACCAGTTGCTACACAAAAAAATTAGAACCGTATAACAGCTGGTATACACAAGCTTAAAACACTTTTTATACAAAAATATACCCATATACAACTGTATAACAGTTGGGATATACAAATGTATAACAGTTGGGATATACAAATGTATAACAGTTTTTTTTTTCTAGGAGCTAAAAGCCGTTTCCATCTACAAATCTATATCAGTTGAAAAGTTTGAGAGTGATTGCATTAATATATCGTCACTGTACAATGTATAACAGTTAACATAACATACTGTATAAGAGTATAACAATGGATATTTAGTTGTTGTCCTTCCTTCACTCCAACACTATAAAGTCATTGTATAACAGTTTTAACGTTGTCCCTGCGTACAATTATAACAGTCCAAATTGAAAATTGAAATCTATAGTAGAATATAACAGTTTCACAAGTCGTTTTATAACAATTAGTAAGGACTAAGCCATTTTTGGGAGTGCAATATTGAGTGGACTTCTTGTAGGTTGATTACAGAGAGTATAACAGTTCTCCCCTCCACCAACATCTCTCCCCGATCGTGACCATCTGCGAAGAGTGTCCTTTGCCTCTACAGGGTATCCTTTTTATAGAAACATAGCCCCCCCATGATATAAATAATTTTTCCCCCCCCACACATGAGAATTTCCCAAAAAAAAAAAAAGGAAAGGAAGGAAACAACAACGGCAACGGCGGGCACATGTGAGCGGTGGGCGTTGGACAGATGCAACAGTCGCTCGACGGCTCCGTGCCCCCCCCTCCCCCTCCCCCCAAAAACGCCGTGTGTCGTGTGCCGTGTCCTTGCTGCGCCTCGTCGCTTCCTGTGTGTGCTCCAGTTTTGCATTGCAAATGCATTTGCTGCCAATGCCGGCTCCGATTGTGGTGCCTTTGGGCCATTTCTCTTTTCTCTTGACAATTTCTTCTCTTTTCTCTTTTTTTTTTTTTGGCGGGGGCCTGTCTTTGGGGTCACTTGCCATAAACACAAATAAAGCCCTCGCACCCCCTCCCTTGCATTCCGCATTCCATCGCATATAAAAATGTATTCCACTGAATTTTACAAGGTGAAAAATTTGACGATTTGTTTTTTTTTTTCGGGAATTCTCGAAACAAAAACAAAAACAAAAAACATCAACACGAAAAACCGGAAACAACAGAACGCCGCCATTTTATTTTCGGCCAGGATTGAAGTGTTGCAAGGAAGGTCCTTTCGTTCGGGTTTCTCTAAGGATACGTGAGAAAGACAGAGACAGAGAGAGAGCCTTGCGTGCTGTCGTTGATTTTCCAATTGCAAAATATGGCAAATATTTGATTTTCGTTTGGTTTTCTTTTTGGCACCCCCGTCGGGGTCTCGGGGTCTCCGGGGTCTCCGGGTCTCTCACATTTTCCAGTTTTCCCCAGTTAATTTTTGTGTGCACGCAATTCGAATGTGGTTGTGGCAGGGGGGAGGGGGGGAGGGACACAGGTGCACCACAAGAGTGTCAGGGATGTGGAAAAGGTCTGTAATTTGGCAGTTAAATGGCAGAGAACGAGTAATAATGGTCTCTGCCGCAAACGACATACGAGAGAGTGCAAATGGACGTGGACGTGGACGTGGATGTGGACGTGGATGTGGACGTGGAGTGGCACGTGAAATGCTAGAGAAGGAGTTAGAATGGAGTTTAAGGCACGAACCTCAGGGGGGAATGTCCTTTAGTTTAAAGTGTCACGAAATATGAAATGTGGCAGCTACTAGATCTTAAAGAGGAGGCTGCCTGTACAGCCTGCCTTCTGCCTTAATCTTTGCCCAACCTTCGGTTTCCCAACCTCCTCTTCCGTTGGGATCTTATTTTTTTCCTCAACAGCTGTCGTACAAATTGCTGCCACACTGCCACATCACATAGATTTCCCTTAAAAGTTAACTTCAAATCCATTACACATCACATTCGCCATTTATTTGGGATGGAAGTCCCCCCTCTCGCTCGCCTCCTTTCCTGTGCTCCAGGATGTTTTCTGGGCGGTGCTGGGCGTAGGGTCGTAAAAGGGAATAGCCAAACATTTTAAGCGCACAAATGCTATAAATTTAAGCCGCTAAATTAGACACGTTTGGCACATTCGAGGCCCCAAGGCCTCGTGCAGCCCCAATCCCCAGCACCAACGTGACCCGCTCTCTCTCTCTCTCTCTCCGCCAAAAATACTCATAAAGGTAATTATTTTATCGTTCGTTCAAATTCGCTTAATTTCGAGCGGTGACTGGGCTGCAACGAGGCGTCGTCTGGCTGCCAAAAATCTATATAAAACGAGCCCCAAAAATAATACAATAAAGAAACCGTAGAGCACTAATGGAAAATGGAGAAAAATATGAAGCACCTCGCGAGCGCTCCCCCCATCCAAACTCCTGGGTTTCCTGTTTCCTGTTCCTTTCTCTGCCCTGCCCCGCCCTGCCCTGTCCTGCCTGCCTTCCTGCCTGCCTGCCTGCCTGCCTACCTTCTCCAATGACCAGCTGCGGATCGTGTGTGCTGCAGGACGACGAGTACGAGTACGAGGACGTGATTAATTACCAAATTGGGAGCCATTATCGCGTGCACTTGCGAGGGTGTTTGTAAAGTTTTTGCGGCTCACGCACACGCCCCAAAAACACCAGCCGGGGGAATGGGGAAAGAAGGGGGAGAGAGAGAGAGAGAGAGAGAGCGGTAGAGAAGGATAGGAGAAGGACTAGAGGATACCCAGTAGTTCAGAGAAAATATCATATGATTTTGCTGGTGAAATAATCGAATAATATCGATAGTTTAGTGATACTAATTAACAATAGTTATCGATTTAGATTATTTCTTGGATCGCTCTTCTGAAAGATAACCAATAACATCCATAATTTATCGATAAATTATAATTGCCGTTGCGATAATTATCGATAAAATATTATCTATCGGGTTGGAACCATTTTTGGATTATAGCTAGATAATATGGGAATTTTATTAATATTTTTTCAATAATCTATCGAAAATATAACAAAAACAAAATTCCGTTTAATTATCGATATCCTTAATTGTTTAACATTTTAAGCTAAATTTCCATATCCTCCAACCAGGCTATCCAGTAGTTTCCCCGACACACAATATACCCCACGTACCCCTCGTACGAATCAGAAAAGTGGGTGGTGGGAGACAGTTGGTGGGAAGAGATGCCACTGAGGGAGAGAGGGTGGAAAAAGGTAGCCCCAAAAAGCCAGGGGAGTCCACCCAAGCTATGAGGAGGTTTCCCCCCCCCCCCCCCCTCCACCCCCTCTAGTAATTTTCGTCGCCTCTCGGAACATTTTCGTTGACGCTTTTGTTCTGTATTCTATTAGCCTCTATCCCCATCGACACCCCAATGCCGAGCAGCAGCGTGTATTTTCTCACATTTTTATGCAAAAAACGTTTCGTTTCCGATATCCTGCGATAGGCCATAGCCCACTGCCGTGCCGTCTGGGCGGGGTCCTGTTTCCTGCTTAGTCTGGCAGCAAAATCAAGCGCAAAATATTAATGATAATAATTTATTACCAAGTGACAGGTGGGAGAAGCGACAGGCGACAGGAAAGGAGGTGCTGCTGCTGCTGCTGCCGCTGCCAGTGTCGTTTTTGCCCCTGGAATTTCCTTCCATTCCCAGGAGGGTCTCCTTTTTCGGGGGGGAGGGGGGGCCCTGATAAACGTTTTGTGATTAGCGGTGGCTTGTGGTTGTTGCTCCTGTTCGATGGGCTTTCGTGGCAAGTCCTTGTCATTTTTATTGTAATTTTTTTTTTTTGTTTTTTTTTGAAAATTTATGCGCAAATTTCGATTTTGACTTGTCGTGCGAGTGGTGGCGGGGTGGCGGGGTGTCGGGGTGGCATGGAATGTGAAATACGTGAGCGGTTATAATTTACGGGGGGTAGGGGGTAGCAGCAGGAAGCGGGGGGATGGCTGCTATCTTTTTGGATACCTTAAAGATTGTTCGAGCATTTTAATGGGATCATTAAATGTATTTTAAAGTACCAAAACAATACAAAATAATATTTTAAACCAAAAATCGATACAATAATCGATAGAGATATCGATATATTGAGCAGAATGTAGCTGATGTTCATGGAAGAAGCGTTTTTATAAAGATAAATAAATGTAGAATAAATTCTGAGGGTTGCCGCAAGAGAAAATCAACAGTTTTTCCATCAAAAATGTAGTCCAAACGAATTTTCAAATTACTTAATGCAAAAACTAGTCGCAAAAATGTAGGAAAATTCTGCAGATGCCGAAAGGCAGACGCCAGATGCAAAAGCAAAGAAAGAAAGGAAAACAAACTGGGACTCTGCCGCTGCCGCTGCCTCTGCCACGATTCACTTGTCATGCAAAGCCGCTCTGCAATGGAGTGGGGGGGCGGGGGTGTGGGTGGGGGCGGGTGGCCAGGTGCAAGGAAAATGCATGCGAATAAACAACAACAAAATATTTGCATTTCCTTAAGAAATGTTTGCACACACACTCAGACAGATAGGCATCC